CCGGGGCGCAGACGGCGGGCGCGGGTCGACAGGTGCGCGCGAGCCGGCGTGGCCGCGCTCCGCCTCCCGTCCCGAGTCTATGAGTCTGTGCTTCCGACCCGAGCCCCGCACGCGGGCACGGGGCGGGAACGGCGCGGCGGGACCCGCAGACTCGGGGCGGGGCTCGGAGGGCTTGGGCGCCGAGCCAGTGGGAAGGGGTGTGCGCCCGCGCGTGCGGCGGGCAGGAGGTCGGAGGCCCGGATCCGGGGCGGGGCGGCGCGGCGCGGGCGACTGGGGAGGGGGCGAACCCGACGGGCCGGCCCTAATCGGATCAGACCTAATCCGCCCGCCGCGAGAGTCGTTCGCCAGCTCCCGCCCAGCCGGCCCCCAGCGCTGCTGGGGAGGAGGGCGCGCGACCCCAGCACCACGACCACTACGCCTTCCCGTTGGCTTACTTGTACCCTAGCTAACGGCCTCTTCATTCCCGTCCTTTTCTAACTCCCCATGATGCACCGAACTCCCGGTGGTCTGGGCCCCAAAGCTCAAGTGTCTGGGTGGTCCAGGGAGGCCTGGCACACAGACAGGCGCCCACGCGTCATTCTGGGAGCCCGTTTCCCATCTCGGTGCGGCCGGGGCTCATGCAGTCTCGGCCCTGTTTGATGAAGCAGAGTAATGTCTTGTCGCCTAGGTTAGCCCCTGCAAACCAACTGTGTCTGCCTCTTGATGTGCTGTGAACCCACACGATGACGTGTGGATCTCGGCCTGCAGAGATGGGGACAGCTCTGGTATTTGAGAAACGCACCCATTCTGTCATAAAGAAAGCTAAATATGTGACCAAGATGGAGATTTCACCTCCTGATGCGGCTGCGTTGGTTCAAAGCCAGTTTCCCCTGCAAAAAACCACTGGTGCTGCCTGGTGCCCCCTATCCTCCAGGCCTGACTGGGAAACTACACCAGAAATCTCCGTTGCTATCACTCTGGTTTCTGAGGCTTTTCAGCCAAGCGCATTCAGACACGTGTGCTTGCAGGAGGTAGACCTGACAGACCTGACCGGCTGTGGAGCTGCCAGGGGCCCTGGAGAAGGAAAGTATGGGGAGCGCCCACACCCACTTCAGAACAAGAGAGGCCCACTTGCTGGCTCTTTTCCACGGCGTCATGCCACCTTCAGGGACAGTGAAACATCAGCGTGACCTTTTCACTTGCCTGCTGGCCAGGGGCAGCATCACACTTCGGCTCTCCAGCCCATCTCCGCCTTCCAGTCTGCAGTTTATCTGTCACTTGTACTCTGAGGTCTCTTCTCTATCACCCTGGCTTCTGAGCCTCTTCAACCGAGCCCATTCAGGTCCTCCCCTTCTCCACCTCATCCGTTCTTGGGTGGTCATCAGAGTGGACTGCAGATGTGCTGACCTCCTCCTGAGCTGCCTGGGTGGGCCTCAAAGACAGGATGGAGGGACTTCTGCTAAGGTTAAAAACTCTGCCCTGGCTTATGTTTGTCATCTTTAATGTGTTTTAATTATTTCTGTATGTGGTACTAGGTGCTGACTACATCCCCAGCTTTTTTCATTTTTTTCTTTGCACTACTGGGGATCATCATTTATCTTGCCACAGATTTTTGTTAAACTGTCTGGGCTGGGTTTGAATGTCTGTCTTCCTGCTGAGTGCTGGGAGACAGGTGGGCACCACTGTGTCCGGCTTTCGTGTGCATGTGTGTGTGAGACAGCGTCTTGCTAAACTCATGCTGCACTCATCACACCCTGCACAGCAGCTGGGACCACCAGCATGTACCACCAAACCGGGCTGTTTTGGAATTGATAAAACATGTAAAATATCTCCATCCTCACCCATCTTCTTCCCTTTCCTAGGGGCAAATTCTGGTACCACTTTCTTCACTTGGTTTTGGCTTTTTCTTGAGGAGTAGGGGTGGTGCTGGGGACCAAATCCATAGCCTTGTGTGTGGGAGGCAAATGTTCTACCACTGGGCTGCACTCCCAAACCCAAATTGGGTTTTTAAATAGTTACCACTCTGCCATTCTGATCCTCCCAAGTGTGGGTTTCAGGACTAAGCACAGCACAGTTGGCTGGGTGACACCCACAACACTCAGGAAAGCTCAGCCAGGTGGTGGTGTCCTGGGGAGAGCAGGATTTGGAGTTGGACCATTGTGCCCTTGGGAGATCAGTAACCCGACGCTCCTCAGTGTTGAGCCATGTAGGAGTCAATACATTTTTTTTTTCTGGGCACAATGCTTACAGGCTAAAGAGAAACAACTCAAAGGCTAGTGAATGAATAAGACTGACCTTTGTCCATAGCTTGCATCCAAGGCCCCTCCACTTGCGCTCTGCACACTTGGGCACCTAGCTGTCTTGTGTGGCAGTGGTTCCCCTGTGCCTGTTTCCTCCTGGGCTTGGCGTTCTGCTGCTGGAGCCAGGCCGCTGAGCACAATGGCTGTGGTTGCAGAGATGCTCCAAGTGCTGTGAAGGAGCATGGTTTGGCCTGGATAGGTAATCTCATGGTTCTCGGCTTTACATCTTCAGTATTAACTCTAATTTGCCTTTTTTTTTTTTTTTTTGGAATTGCTTTTTTTTTTTTTTTTTTTTACAAGTGCACTATAGCTTTCTTACTGGTTTTGTCTGCAAACTGACAGATAAAGCAGTGTTGTGTGAGACCATGCTAAAGCAGTGCCAGGGCCAGGACTTGTACCAAGATTGTACTTTCAAACCTTTCATTTCCTTCCTGCCTCTTTTAGTCTCAGAACAGGGATCAGTGTGGAGGTCAGGTATCAATGAAAGCTGTTTTCTCCTGTCCCCACCCATGTGCCCCACTTTCACTTGAACATTTGAGTTACTGTAGTGAGCCAGGCATGGTGGGGCATGCCTGTAATCCCAGCACGTGAGCCACTGACGCAGAAAGTGTACCTGGAGTTACCCAATCTGGGTAACACAGGGAACTCAAGGCCTGTCTGAAACTCAGACTCTCAAAAAATCAAAAAAGAGCTGGAGAGACATACAGCTCAGTGGTTTAAGCACATGCCTGGCAAGTACAAGGACCTGTTTGATTCTCTATACCATATGCTGTGTTGGCCCCCTAAACCAGGTGGCACACACCTGTAATCCCAGTGGTGGGGAGGCTGAGACAGGAGGATCACTATGAGTCTGAGCTGCGTAATGAGACCCTGTAACAAAATTTTTTTTAAAAGAGGGAACATAGTAAGTTCCCTTATGTGGGACTGTAATCCCAGTGCTGGGGTGGGCTACCGGGAACAGGCCTACTTATACCATTCTCAGGAAGGGAGGGCTGGGACTAAGGTCTTCATACTGACCATAACTTCCTGAATGCGGAGAACTCTGGCTGCCCAGTTCAACAAATGGTGCTCTTATCTCAGAAAATGATATCAACATGAAAGTGGTCATCTTCTTCAGGCAATAGGCAGACTGGAAAGGTCTCCTGAATTACTAATCCTAACCCTAAACCCCAGTAGGGTGTGAGAAAGTTAAATTTAATGAAAGTAACTAGAGAGTCTCAGAGGTGGAACAACTTGATTATCTGCAGAAGAGACCCGCTGCCTCAGCAGGTGACCTAAGCACTTCACAGGGCCCCTGAAGCAACTCGAGTAAGCTGACTGGAGCAAAGGATGCTACAGCTCTGATGGTCATGAGAAATCCATCAAGTGTCAGGGTCAAGTCGGCCAGACAGTGGCCCACGCAAGCTCCCGAGTGCTGCTGCTGCTGATTCCTTCCACACCATCTAGTAACAAGGGCACGTTAGATAGCAGACTGCCACAGAACCAGAGTGGTGGGGCATGTCTTCCTCTTTATTGGCTAGGGCCACTGTTCTGTAGTAAGACATGGCTGTTTTGCTGAGATCTGAAGGCAAGTGGCAGTGGCCGCGTCTCCCTGAAGGGTCGTTTCACATCAGACACCTGGCTGTATTCCCTGGAGGTGCAAGGTCTCAGGAAAGGCCTCTTGGGGCAGTAGTAGTAAAGATGGCTCCACACAGTGGTGCACACCCTAGCTACTCAGGAGGGTGCAGGACTGCCTGTTTGATGCCAGCCTGGGCAACCTTTGCAGACTGTTTCAGAGATGGTGGTGTAGATCAGGGCAAAGTGCCCAGGTTCTCTCTCCAGTCCTGGGAGGTAGCAGGAGTGGTAGCTTCTGCAAGGCAGGCCAGAGGCAAGAGAGAGGGATCAGACAAGACCTTTTATGGAGTCCCCTGTGAGAGCCAAAACACAGCAGTGTGGACAAAGTCAGCTCTACCTGGCTCTGGAATTTTAGCTTGAAGTGATTCGTTTGACTTTCTCCCTTTAGTCAGTGTGACTGTCTTAGCACTGTCCTAATTAGGAGACCATAGCCAGCCTGATGGCTGGCTTAGAAGCCACGCCAAAAGCAGTGAGCTAACATGAGACCAAGGGTGTGGAGGAGGGTGACACTTGTGGTTCAGCTCTGCATTCCATTCTAAAACTGCCTCACGTGGAGATGCACAAGGTTAGGTTTTTGTTTGTTTGTTTTTTTAATGTATTTGGTTGTTGCAGGGTCTCACTACGCAGCTGAGTCTCAGGGTGATCCTCCTGCTTTCAGCCTCCCCAGCGCTGGGATTACAGGCATGCGCCACACCTGGACTCTGGCTGGCACAGCATGTGGTGCCAGGGATCGAGCGGAGATGCCTGCGCTTGCCTAAGCAGGCACTTTAGTCTGCTGAGCTACCTTGCTGGCCCAGGGTTAGGGATTCTTTTCTTTATTGCTGCTCCCGAGAAAGAGAAAGCAAGACTTTGTGAGAGGCAGACGCCCGTATCACAGGCCCTTTGATTTTGGCAGAACTGGGGCTTGAATTCAAGCCCCTGCGCTTGCCAGGCAAGCTCTTACTCTACTGAGCCATCTCCCTGACCCCCTCCCATATCACAGGGCTGCCGTATCACACATGACAATTTGTGGGACCTCATACTTGATCCCCCAGTGTTTCCAGGAAACTACAATGTTGTCTCTCTTTCTTCCTGAGGACATAGTACCTATAGAAAGGCCTAATATCCTCCAGCCAACTAGAAGAGGCGCTGGCCACTCTATTTCCTCACCGTGACTTCGCTGTAGGCTGACACCTGGAGCGTCAGAGGTGCTCAGATGCTTACTAGATGAAGGGAATGGCAGTGCTTTGCCAGCTGTGTCAGGAAGCTCTGAGAACTTGCTCAAACGTGAGAGGAAGCAGCCCTGGCAGCTTGTGGTACAGGTGACTCCTGGCCCAAACTCAAGTTTGCAAAGTATTCTTGAGCTGGGGGAACTACTCCAGAGAAATGACATTAAAAAAACAACCCTATGGAAGACTGGTTAGTTGTACATGTCTCACTGTATTCCAGAAGTCTGTTGTCTTCCAGTTTCTAAAGCTTGGATCAAGGATTAGCTTCCTCGCACACTGAGTACAGGAACCAGGAGTGCCAGCCAACTTCAGCGCTGCCCTAGAGCCTCACTTCAGTGAGGGGCTGGTTCCCATATCTAGATATAGTCTCTTCTTTGGCTCACTGGGTCACAGCATCTTCTAATGGTGGTTGCAAAGAGTTTGCACTTAGGTGTGTTCTGAAACTGAAACCTGCCTAAATTCTATCCTGACACTGTAAGACTTGAGATTATTCCTCTTTTGGGGGGTACCAGGATATTTGCCATGTTTTCTGGAGAACTTCACTCACCATTCTTCACTGTGAGGCAATAACACAGTACAGCACACTCGATTTCCTATTCCCAAGGCATTATGCAGAGGATTGGATGAGGAGTGCCTTGGACGAGATGAGGCTGATTCTTAGGTTCTTCACAGGGTACAGAATGAAACTGGGGTAGGAATACAGAACAATGGACCACAATCCAGAAATGGTATTTCATTTATTTATTTGCTCCAATTTCTCAAAACTCCCTCCCCTTATTTTTCCAAAATAACACCACACTGAGAAAGATGTTTGTACAAAAACCACTTATTATTCCCCCCTCACAAAATTGGGTGGCCATATTACAAGAATGAAACCAGATTAAAGACACAAAAAGAAAATGTCACTTATTCTGAAACATAACAGTGCTGAATTCAGGTATTTTGTAGATTACTAGCATAGTAAAAATATTTCTACCTGCATGTTTAAATTTGAAAATGATCACATGAAAGACCTGAGGTTACAAGGGACCACAGTAAGAACCAGAACTTTATTTTCTCTCCAGGACTCCGAAGGAAAAGGAAATATGTGAAATAGTTTCCTTTGGGAAAGACTAGAGGAAGTAGGGAAAACCCTGGCCATTGCTGAAAGGCACTGGGTCTCCCTGGAAGCAAACTCCAGTAGAAACAAGCTCATTTCCATTTCCACTCAGGAGTTGAGAACAAATGTGCGAAAGAAACAGGTCTCCTTGGTTTCACTATTCCAGTACTCTGATGCTGACCAGGGCTACCTGGTAGAGACAAACCTGAGGGTCTGAAGGCAAATCTCAATTGTGGCTTTATTTTTTGCTTTTTGATATTAAGGGAAAAAGTTCTAAGGTGTTTTACAAACACCTCCCTACACCCTCTCATATGTAAAGCTTTAGAAAATATATAGAAAAAGGTATCCAGAAGATGTTCTACCTTACATCCTAAGTCATACAACTGCCACTTGAGAATGTGGAATGAAGGGGTCAGGTGCTCTGGAAGCCACACTCTTTTGCTATTCCTAGGACAGAAGGGAGCTGAAAGGAGGACAAGACACAAAACTGAGTGCTGAAGTCACTCAGCAGGGATAGATATGGGCTCAAATAAGGCATTTTTTGGTGGCCCTTCTTCTAGAATGGCACTCACCCTCCCAGCCTGAGTACCCCAAACATTAAAGCATAATGCTCTGGAACCAAGGGAGGTCCCTGGTACCCTTAGCGCCTCAACAACCTGAAAGATGGAAAGTGAGACTGCAGAAAGGCATAAGAGGAGGCAGGAGAGGCTGGTGATTCTGCCTCCCTTTTCTAATCCCATCCCAAACCTAAAGTACCGCCTCATGAATTCCACCCACCCTGGCTACTGCAAGAGGTAGTTTGGGGACTTGACCCCAGACATTACAACCAAGTTCCATGAGCTAAATTGTTCACTAGCTACTTTTTAAAAAAATTTATTTATTTTATTTTTTTAAATTTTTTTTAAGAGGGAGAAAAAAAGCAGGCATGCAAAGCAGGCTAGACTGATGGGGAGGGAGCAACTGTCTTAGTCTCCTTAAATTTTCCTGACTCGGCTAGGGAGCTTTGGGAGCCTCCCCAAATCCAGCCCTCAGAAAAACAATACACCCACTGCAACCCAGCAAGTCATCTGCATAGAAAACCAGAGCCGGTGGGCTCAGGAAGGAAAGGCTGTGTCCTCGTGTCTGTGCCCTTCTCTACTATGTACCAGTTACAAGGGCGTCTGCCAGACTGGGTGGAGCCTCCCCAAAAACAGCTATCAATGGGGTAACCCCCTTCCCATCTCTTCGGTCTGCTGCACTGATGCATGACCAGTCTTGGGAAACTTCATCAGCAGCACCATTCTTAGCTCAGATAAGCAGAAATAAGGTCACTTATAATGCCTTAAGGTGTGTCCCCTCTGGCTGTATCCTTCTGCCCATCACCATTTTTTGGTTCCTATTAACTTAGGACACTCTCCTTTAAAACAGTCATAACAAAGGAGAGATAATAATTGTAGAGGATTATCCATAGAAGTATATGACAAAGAAAAAAACAGAAGAGCAAAAACTGACATTGAATACTAATGCTGACAGGACCTGTCGATAAACTGCCCATACCACCCCACAGCAGATGGGACAGGACCAGGAGACACAGGCTGATTTGGGGACAACCACATCACAGTGTCATCACAGGTGTCCCATTCAGCACAGAATGTGTCAGAGTGTAGAAAGGTGGTCAAGAGGAGTGGGAGACACGGGATGTGCACTGGGGCTATGAAAATAAAATCCTGAAAGAAACCCAAGGCGGCAGAGGAATATGAGTCTCATCATCCACACTCCAGCTTGAGGTGGTGGGTGCGGAGGTTTCCTGCTCTTCTGGCTAAGGAGTGGCTGAGGCAGGCGGACCTGGAGCAGTTGGGGGAGGGACGCCATCTGTTGGTGGTGGCGGCGGTGGCGGCTGTGGTGGAGGGGGATCTGCAATACATGCAAGGGAAGCTTGTCACTGATGAACACAAGTGTACATGTGTGTGAGAAACAAGTACTTTCCTTGGAGGCAGGTAGGCTGCTACCACTGTGGCCCACATGGGCACAAGCAGTGACCTCCTGGCCACTGTGCATGCTGCTGGCCCTCACCAGGCACAGAGCAGTGGATGGTGCCTGGACCTGCCTATTCTCTTTTCAAGGATCATTTCTTCCCAGGATCACTCCATCACTCCACTCGCTTTCATAACTCCATGGTATTTTGATTTTACTCTACTTTTATGACTCCCTTTACTAAGTTTCTAAATTTTATTTACAGTGTGTGTGTGTGTGTGTGTGTGTGTGTGTGTGTGTGTGTGTGTGTGGGGTACTGGGGATTGAACACAGAGCATATGCACTGAACAATATTACCAGTCCTTTAAAAAAGAAATTTCTGAGCTAGGTGTGGTGGTGCACACCTGTAATCTCTGTCTCAACCCCCCCCCCAAAAAAAAAAAAAACCAGAACAAAATGAAACAGCACAAAAAAAAACTTCTCTTTTTCTAGACAGGGTCTTGTTAAATCATTACACAGCTATAGTCAAACTTGTGACTCTCCATGGGAAAACTGTCACCCAGTTCTCTTTACTAATTTTATCAGTTAAATACATGGCTCTTCTCTGGCCAAATACTGTGTATTTTTTTCTTTTTCTCACTGTCTAGCCTTGTTGAGCACAATACAGACTACTGGTTGGGCATGATGTCACACGGCTGTAACCCCAGCACTCGGGAGGCTAATGCAGGAGGATCCCTGAGAGTTTGAGACCAGCCTGGGCTACAAAGTGAGCTCATAGCCAGCCTGAACTGCGTAGAGACGCTGTCTCAAAAAGACAAAAAAACCCAGATTATCAATCACCCTTACAGCACATTCTTTCTACCAGGGCCAGAGAACTTCACCAGGGCTGCTGCTGACAAGGTGGGGAGGCCTTGGGCTTCTCAGAGCTCCTCAATTGCAGCTCTTGGTTTCTGGCCAAACTAGGCTAGATCCTCATAGGAACAACTAATGAGTGGGCATCTGGTCTGGCTTATCCTTTTTTAATGTTAGTTCCTTTTTTGTACAAAGAAAACCTAGAGATTATTTAATCAAGGGTTCTAAAAATCTCTAGATCTTGCCAGAAATTAAAACATGAAACAAAGCACTGTTTTGCTTAATGTCAGTTCACCCAGCCTTACCCCAACCCCCAGAGCATCTGAAGCCACTTGGCCAGTGTGGCCTGCCCCAGAGCCTGAGAGCCAGGTCAGCAGCTCAAGATTCCTCCAACAGTCAGGTGAGGCAGTGAATGCCTCTGAACCCCCACACAACATGGTAGTCCCCTAGGGGCCCTTGAGGATGGAGTCCTGAGGTCACAAACCATGGGCAGCCAGAAGGACACAACAGTGACACTGATCAATGGCATCTCATCTCAGATGGCAATGGTTGGGGGCCTGCCCCTTAGCTCAGTTCTTTTAAGTGGCTGCTTCAATAAAGCAGTCAGGCTCAGGTTGCTGTGGTTCGATCCCCATAACTCAAGCCAGCCAAACCTGCCCTGAAGGCATTCGGAGCCAGCCCCCCCCCCCAAAAAAAAATCCTTCAGACGGCAAAGGTTAATGCCGTGGAAGCCAGTTCATCTGCACACTGCCTGTGAGATGGCTTGGCGAGTAGTTTTCTGTATCCACAATACTGTACCCTCTGACCACCACTCAAAGGAGATCACTGACTTCTCACCCACCCCGCTGAACTATGTCCCCCATGTCTATCTTCTGTGCACTGCTCTGCCCCAGGCCCTGGGGACCCAAGGTGACAAGGAACAAGGCCCTGGGTAGCCTGCCTTCCTGCCTTGGGAAGTGAGCATTCAAGGAACTTTGCAGTTCTTAAAACTTTTAGTAAACCCTATCCAACTGTTCATTTCTTTTTCCCCAAAGTTCCTAAAGGCTAGGGATTATGTTCTTCTTCCAGTCTTATGAGCAGGACCCAACTCCCTCACATGTATGAACTTCCAAATGAATCAAGGATTAACAACATGCCTGAAGACCTGGCTGGTTCTGGAAGGACTGTGGGGCTGTTTCCTACAGAGCAGGTCTATAGGAGGAACAGGCATCCTAGAGCCTCCAGAGCAGTACTCTGGGGGCAGGAGGAGAGCAAGAGCTTGTGAAATATCTGACCTGGCCCTCACCAGTCAGACACTGCTGAGCAGTACCAGTGCTCTGTCCACTAGTCATCAGGACCTCCTACTCCTTGCTAAGAAGGCCAGGAATTTCCTACCGCCAGGTTATGCAGCCACCACCAATACATTTAAAAAAAAAACAAAACCCTGTTATTGTAAAATGCTCCAGCAGGGCGAAGGACCACTAGAAACATTGTATGTGTGCTGAGACTCAACCTAGATAGATTTCAACAGGTGAGCAGAGCCCTCACCGGCCTTTCCAGACTCTGCTTGGAGCACAGTGTATCCACCGTCACCTGCTCACCACAGTAGTGGCCTGAACTGATTTTGTGGAATCCAGTGTCATGGCTAACGCTGCCCATGGAGTGAACAAAGCCCAACCCTTACTAACAGACCTGGGGAAACAGGTCTTCATTTGTGCTACTTACACATGCCATTGGGTGCTGTGAGGGGCCCTCGTGGTCCTAAGATGTTTCCCGGCATCGGAGGCATACCAGGAGGGGCAGGGCCACTCCCTGCAGGGTTAATGCTGGCTGCCATGGGGGGCATCATGCGGCCTGGCATGGGCTGGCCGGCCATCATGGCACCCGGACCTGGCATCTGACCTGTGGAGAGTGAGGGTGAAAGTCCTATGAACACTCTTGGCAGGGAAACAGGAAAGGGAACAATTGAATCTTCATGATGGCTCGCTCCCTCCAAAGGACCTCAAATGGCAACACCCAAATTATCTGTAACCATCTCAGTGCTTTTACTTTAATTGTCCAAACAATATTAACATAAAGTTATCCCTTCAACCAGAGAAATCAGCAGCATAATTAACTATCTTATATAAAAAAAAAAATTATCCTTTTGCTTTTCCCTTTCTTTTTCCCATTTCCCTAAACCAGTTTCTCTTTGCTTTTAAAGTTTCTTCCCATTTTGGACCACATTTACTCTTTCAGCTTCTCACACTAGGGAGACACTATGATGTTTACACATTTGTGTCTTATTTATTGCACTTATGAGTATGGTCTCAAGTTGCATCCATTTACCTATTAAGAGTCTCCAGTTTATTCTTCTTTATGGCTCAGTAATATTCTATCACATAAAAAGACTGCATCTTTTTTTAATCCATTTCTTGGTTGATGGGCATCTGGGTTGTGTTCAAGATCTAGCTATTACAAATTTTGCTGCTATAAACATGGGTTCAAAACTGGGCATGGTGGCACACGCCTGTAATCCCAGTGCTGGGGAGGCTGAGACAGGAGGCTCACTACAAGTCCGAATCTTGTATAGCAAGACCCTGTACCAAATACATACATACAAACATACATATATAAAAAGATTTTAAAAAATTAAGAAAACACGGGTACACATATATCTCTGTGGCACTTTTTTCTTTCTTCTGGGAAGATACCCAGTAGGGAACAGTGGAGTCAAAGGGGACCTCCAATCCTGGTTTTCTAAGAAATCTCCACACTGATTTCCACAGTGGTTGCACCAGTCTACACTCTGACCAACAGTGGTGAAGAGTTCCTTTTTCCCCACAGCCCCTTTAGCATTTATTATTGGTTGAATTCTTTTTTTTTTTTTTCCGGAACCGGGGATTGAACTCAGGCCCCTGCGCTTGTGAGGGAAGCGCTTATTCTACCAAGCCATCACCCCGGCCCCCTTGAATTCCTGATGGTAGCCATTCTTTCTAAGCTGAGACACAATCTGTGCTGTTTTCATTTGTATCTCTTGAATGACCAGTAAATGTTGAACATTTTTTCATGTATTTGCTGTCTGCACTTTTTTATCTGCAAAGTGAATATTCATCTATGATGCCCATTTTTTGATTGGGTCTTTAAATTTGGGAAGTCTGATTTTTTGAGTTCTTTGTATGTTCTTGATAGTAAACCTTTGTCTAAAGAACACCTGCAAGCATTTCTCCCACATCGTGGGTTATCTTTTTATGCTTAGCTTTTTACACATTTCTTTGGGGGGGAAACTATGTGGGGAAGGAGTGACTGGTTATTCTAAACTTTGGCACAGGCAAGTAGCTGTAAGCAATAACAAAATGGGAATGGTGGTACCTGCCTGTAACCCCAGGATCTGGGAGGGGTAGGCTGGAGGATTTCGAGTTTAAGGCTAGCCAAGGCAACTTAGTAAGAAAGGGGGAGTGAGGAGAGGAAGAAGGAAAGGAGAGAAAGAAAAGACAGGTAGACCAGCCAATTACAAAGAAAGCAGCCCTAAAAGAAAACATTCACTTTGGTTTGGGTGAGCAGTACACTGCCAATATCTTCCTGGGGATGCACAGGCCAAGGGGAACAGGAGGAAGACAGTGCTATCTTCAAAAGTCCTATCCACAAAAATTTCTTCTAAGAATCATGAGGCACTGGGCAAAGAGCACCATCTCTTCCTAGTGTTCCCAGATTCACAACAGTAGACCCTATGGACAAAAACATCACACCTCTGTTGTTGCCAAGCCTCAGTCTTGTTTTAGACGCTGCCGTCCATGTGGTGCCATCATAGTTGTTCAGCTCTGCTGCAGGGCACTGAAGGCAGCCACAGATATAGGAAAGACGTTTCTGGCAGGCTCGGACACACAGGTTTCTTGCTTAGAAACTAGAGAACCTCTTATGGTCTCATGAGACAGGGAAGCCAGGTACCAGGACAAGTAACACTGCCTGTCTCTATCAATGGGTACACATCTCTTTCTACCAACTTCAGTCTGCACAGAGCCTCAGAAAAGACAGAAGAACAAGTCAGGTGTGATGGTTATATTCTGTAATCCCAGCTGAGAGGCTGAGATAGGAAGATTTCAAATTTCAGCACAGCTTGGGCAATTCAGTGAGATCCTGTCTCAAAAAAGGGCTAGAGATGTAACTCAGTGAAAGACTCTGAGTTTTAGCCCCCCATGCACAACTACCACATGCACAGAACTTCTGCCAGCCTTTCACCGTTTGAACTCAGGGCTGTGCATTGAGCTACACCTCCAGCCTTTTAAACATTTTGTTTTTTTGTTTTTTTGGTACCAGAAATCAAACTCAGGACCTTGTGCCTGCCAGATAGGCGCTGTGCCACTGAGCTACATCCCTGGCCTCAAACATATTTTGAGACAGGTTTCCCTCAGTTGCCAAGGTGTTTAGGCTGGGCCTGAACTTGTGATCCTTCTGCTTCAGTCTCCGAGAGTGCTGGGACCCCAGGTGTGCGTCAGCACCCCTGGCATGTCAGACATTCACACTCTGCCGTCTGGGCTAAGCAGGGGTAGTGGCCGCTGCCCATAACCCCTCATCAGGGCCCGCTCTGCTGAAGCAGTCCAGAGAGCACAGTGGCAGTCTCCCTGCTACCCCACTTCCTCTGACACATCAGTTCTCAGGCAGGTTACTCGGGGTGCCTTGGGCCTCCACTTTCTCAGCCAAACAGCTATCCTTCTAACCACAGGGTTTCCCTTGTGATTAGGGAAACTGCTTGTTTGTTACTGTGCCTTACTGTGTCCCAGGCTCCTGTGACACAGTTCTGAGACAAAAGTTTTCTTATAGAGTCAAGCTCATAGCTCTATGGATTTCTTTCTGATCACAGAACTAGTAGTGATGGGGGATTATCAATTAGACCCTAGGCCGCTGAGCCCAATTCTCTTACCCAATTCTGGTTCACACAACACAGCTCAAGTGAAAGGGCTACACCTAATGGCTAGTGTTTAAAGCTCCAGTCCCGCTGGAGGATGTCAAGAAGTCCTGCCTGGGGGAGGGTAAGTGTGGCTCAGTGGTCTGATCCCCACAGCACAAAAGCAGCAGAGAGAGAAGAAGACAGGGAGGAAAAAGTGTATGAGCAGAAATGTGGCTGTGAGCCCAGGACGTTGCGCCCCAGGTGGGAAGAGGAGTCCAGAGTACCCTGCTATGGCTTATCTGCCTAGAGCACTACCTGGCTGGGAAATGAACTTTTTATCCCCAGAACAGGGAGAACACACTTGTATTGTTGGAAGTCACTGTGTCTGGTGACTGATTACAACCTCAGCAAATGTCCACTGTGTCCTAGAGTCCTGTGGTGGAAGGGGCAGAGGATCACAGCACAGACAGTGAAGCCCAGATCTGAGCAGGGATGTGTCATCTGCCAGGGCCTGGCTCCTAGGGGAAACGAGTCTCTGAAGGGGCCACTCAGAGCTCCTCAGAGCAGAGAAAGAGCTACTTCATACACAGTCTAGTGCAGAGGAGCCAGCCTGACAGACAACACCCCCGCACCCGTCCATCCTCAATGGAGTGAGCCCCAGGGGCTGGCTCTTCCAGCAGGCAGTGTCGGTGCACAAGCTACCTGCTCAGGACCTTTGGCCCAATTACCCATTTCCCTACATCTGTATTGCAGGAGCTGGGTAGGGCAGCTTTACAGTTTTTCAAGTCTTTAAGAATAATAGCTTAAAAAAGAAAGAAAAAAAAAACCTTTTCAATTTCTGAAATCTATCTTTTAAATTCTGAGATCTATCTGAAATGCAGGTTCTACACTCTACTGTTTCAAATAAGGCCATAAAACCACTGAGAGCTGAGCTGAGAGGCTGAGGCAGGAGGGCTGTAAGAGCAAGCCCAGCCCAGGCAACAGAGCACTAAGTGAGGTGCTAGTAGAAACTAAAAGTGTGGTGTGTGTAGAAAGGTGAATAAGGGGCTGGGAACATAATGTGGCCACTGAGATATGGGTGTCCACAGTGTAAGATGACAATGGCTCCTTGGAAGGGTTGGGAGCAAAAAGGCAAAGCTGGAGAACAGATGCTTGCCTGTGCCGCAGGGACCAGGCGTAGACATCCGTCTACCTCCCAGCAAGCCAGGAGCACTCTAGCACAGAGACTCACCACTGTCAACATGTGACACAGCTTTGGGGACAGTGGCTTTGGAGAGCAGCCAGGGAAGGCAGTGTAATAGTGACCTCACTGACAGCTCAGGACAAAGAACACAGGAAAGGCTCCAAGTGGAGGGGAGGAAGTCAAGCCCCACAATGGCTGTGCAATATGCTCAAAGGGACTAGGGAGAAGAGAGGAAGCTGAGATTCAAACTCAGGGCTGCCTGGCCCCAGGCTGATTCTCTACCCCATAGCACTTGAAAGGACGATTTTCCTCCTTGGAAAAGGTGACTTCTAAGGACCCAAACTGATTTTAATCTTTTTTTTTCCCCCCAGTATTTAGGATAGGGTCTACAGGGTCTCACTACATAGACAGGACTTGTGGTGATTCCCCTGTTTTTAGCCTCCCAAGTGCTAGGATCGCAGGGGCGTGCCACCACGCCTAGTCTCAATCACCGTCTCAGCATCACCTGTGGGCCGGACTGGCACAGCATGCCGGGGATCAAACCCCAGTTCCTGTGCTCTGTCTAAGCAGATGCTTTAGTCTGCTGAGCTAGCAGGCCGGCCCTGGACCTAACCTGAAATGGAGTAGGATTTAAGAGGACTGGGAAGGAGAGAAAATCCGTTTCTTATAGTGCAAGTCACCTACAACCTAAAGCTCCTTGACTTCTGAGCAGCGGCTCCATGGTAAACAGGTGGCCAGGCTGAAGGTGCCCACTGACATTATCAGGAGGTGGCAGGGCCCGTGCAACTGAAAATTCCACAGAGGAGGCCTCAGCAAGCAGAAGCAAGGGTGTGACACTTTCCATTAAAAAAA